CCTGCTATATCATTAGACTCGAAACTAATTTCTGACTGGCTGTAGAATGGATATCATCTAACTACCTCGCTCTACTGTGACAATCTGGTTGGTATTGCAGTTCTATTCAGCCTTCCAGCCATCCAGAAACCTCCTCGCCAGAGAATTCAGTTAGTTGGCTGGAGTGGGTGATGTAAATCATGTTGATATTGTGTGACTAATAATTGTCTCTGATCTATTGGAAGAGACCTACTTCTATTATATAAAGAGGACCAAGTCGATGATTTCGTGTTGGCTGAATACGAGAAGATTATAATACTTAAATGCTACTCTATGGTCTTCAGAAGAACTTAGAAATCGTCCGCAACATGCCTTTTTGGGGCGGGGTCGGTGAGCGTCTTTAGCTGGGGTCATAGAGCAGATTAGATGCTTGTTCCCCATTGGGATTATGCCCTGCTCATCAGTATCCACAATTCCGAAGTCCCTGTGCATTACAATACACATCTGCGCCGATGCACCATACAGGCTCTCGGTCCTGAAATGATTATGGTAGGGGCCCTGTATGGCGATGATGAAATTCAACAGTGCTGGCTGGCTAATAAAATGCTTACATGGATATCAGACATGATCCGCGAAGTAACAATGTGTCCATCCGCTAGGTCAATTGTAATATAGATACTTCCCTCGTCTCTGGGCTTCAGACAATCAGATATACACTGCAATTTCAGCATAAAATCCCCTGTTCTTTCTTTCTTCTCCCCTCACCAATCGATACAGCTTTTGAAGATCCTCAAAATCATGCATATCAGCTTTGATAGTATCAGCTTCTACCATCCTCCTCCTCCAAAACTTCAAACTACTGTGTCTGCTTCCCGTTGGAAATTGTACAAGGCTCCTCCAGCTCCACATAGCCTTTCACGCCCTCTTCCACCCAAACCCCCTATCCTTATAGCAAACATCCCGATCTCGGATAAACAGCCAACTGCTGTCCAGCAATCCCAGAATCCTACGGAAGATGAGGCTTCAGCAACACCGGCATTCCGCAATGCGTTTGATGTCGAACTCGGGAGAGTCTCGAGAGAGTATTTGTGGCGGAAAACAACCCAATTGCGGGTGAGACAGATCTGGAAATACACTGTGGTTGTGGGCTCCCAGGTGAAATCGCATCAGATGTACCCCAACGTCAGGGTATGTCTTCGACTCTTGGTAGGTAGATTGCACGATGAGCGCACCTTCCTTGGAATCGGCTAACACTATGTACAGTACCACATTCAGTGAGCTTGGAGTCGGTGCAACCGCTGGCGAGCGCTGATGGCTGCATTACAAATTCATATTGATTAGGCTATGGCGAATGTTTGCCATCATATAAGGCAATAAGCAGCTCAGATTAACCGAGAAAATCAGGCAAGATAATTCACGAAAGGAGTTGGGGTCGAAAAGTAGCACTTTTGGAATGATTTTCTATCCTAAGATTTCGCGCTGCTAATCAAAACAGCATAGCACTCGGGATTATCCTGGCCCATCCCACTTTCTTACTCCAATAACCCCAGCACCCACTGATCCAGAGCTGATGATGGATTGATCTTCAGTAAAACAGAGACATGGCACACGATTATCAGCGCAAAATGTGCCATATTCACGGGATCATTCATGTCGTAGGAACCGTAAGAATGTAGAGTTGCAAAACTGCCTGCTTCCTTGCGCCCGCGCTCTATATATTTAATCCATACTCGAGAAACCTTATAAACATCTTAGTCTCGTACTGGCTTACTAAAGGACGACTATTTCTGTTAGCAGAATAGTCTATGGGTTTTAATTTTCAAGACTAAGCCCGGCACTTACTAGTGTATAGGGCCAGACATCGGACAACTAGGATTTCCTTTGATCCTCGCAACTGATTCAGACACTTCTTGCATAATGACGCAATTTTTCTGAACCTTTAGAAGTCTATTGCACTCCATTATGACCTTGACAAGCTGAGTGTCGGTGCTCGAACAGCCCATCTGTTCTGTCAGTAAAACCCTCCACTGAACCCCAACTCAACTTGAATCGCCTCTTGTACGTGCGCCACCAGTTGCGGGTCCCAGGGATTATAGAGGTTAGAGCGTTGAGGAGCTCGATAAAGGCCGAATCGACCGTATCCTCATCATAATGACCACTACTAGAATGAGATACTACGAATGGTTACTCATAAGCCGCACGCAGTATTGTTCTGGTGCGATATTTAAACGTACCTGGATGGGACATAATAAATAGCACCGCATTATGGGCTTTCGCACTGTCATTTGCCTCATCCCTAAACTCGACTCTAAGTATCAGAAACAGAAGTCAAAACGCTGCGTCTCGCGCTAAGGTCTTATCACCCTTGTTAACGCGGTAACGCTTATATTCGAGCTCGTAGTCTGTTTTGCAGGCTCGAAGATCAACAAAAATGTGGTCGATGGTCTGACCCCCCAACACATCAACCCCGAGGAAATCGTATGTCTCGCAGAGAGTGTGATACTGAGCCAAGTCAACCGGCAGAGACCGAAAGCAGAATCGGTAGCCTGACTCAAGCCCTTGTAGTGCGACAACATCGAAGAGAGGATATCACCGTGAGTAAACTCTGATCCCTGTGGCTGACAATTGCGTTCGAACCTGACGAATGACGCTAGGTAAGGGATCATTGAATGTCCATATTATAGAGTATGACCGATCTTCAGCATGGTTTCCGAGGGGCCCTATCCGGCTGGCGCTCTTTCATGGGGTGCATCTTCTGCGTCACCATAGTCCAGTTTCGAGTAAAGGTCATCCGGTAGCATTTTCACCGTAGCAGCTGTCCAGACCTCTAACCTATCCTTCTGGCGATCATATCGCGCAGAAGCCTTACCCCCGCTTCTCTTCACTATGTCAATCAACTTTTTGAACAGTGAACCTAGTCTCCTCAGGTCTTCTCGATGAGATTCTTCCCATTTCTTAATCTCAGCTACGACGTTCTCCACTTTTGGTGGTGCAAACACCCCGTTTTTATGGTATGCGCGTACTATATTCGGGGTCTGCGATACCCAGAGCTGGGGAAGGACCTCCTGTACGCTGATCGGTTTATGAGCCACACGCGTTTTGATCTCAAGTATCGAGTCAGCTGCCACAGTTCGACCCTCATGCCTCAGCAGCAACTTAGACTGCCCCGAAGTGCCACAGGGGACGCATTTAGAGGGACGAAGAGATAGCGACTGGATCATACTGGATAGATCAACCTGATCCATGCCGACAACAGGGGAACCCGATAACGGATCAATGTATCCATCCGTTTCATAGCGAACGATGAGTCTGAGCCCACCAAAAAAGTAACTGATGATCCTATGGTGGCCAGTACTTCCGTTAACTTGGTCTCGGGTGTATGCCTTTTCAAACTCATGACCAAAGCCCACAAAGTCTCTGGGTCCGAGGAATCTAACTGTCTCGGTCTCTGCACGACAGAAGACCGCCGTCTTGCCCGTGACTTCCACTTCGATGGTGAAAGGCTCAAGCCCATTCTTTGATAGACTAGGATTGATAAAGGATAGGAGCTTGCGGATGTTATTTCGATCTGTTACGAGATCAACGGCACCAATATCGAACGAAGGGTGAGTTGTGTATAGAGCACGGAACAGAGGTTCCAGAGGGCTTTCTGGGTGTCGAGCTGCATTTTGAGCTATATAAATACACCCAGAATCTTTTGGTACCTTTCGGGTACCTTTCGGTGGTGACCATAATGGTGGGCAGCCCGGGATGGCAATAGTAGGAGTCTCAGAATCTATCCAGTTATAGGATGACAGGTGCTTGACATCTGTGATCGATGGTGTAGTTTCTTCGAAGCCCTTGAGATCCACGCGAGAGATACTCGCTATCTTGACAGGAGTCATTGTCGAATGGGTTTAGCAATGCAGGAGTTGTACGTAAGTATCAAGGCGGGGTAAGGAAACAGCGGTGCTCATATGGTCAGACACCCAGCGTCCAAGGCAGTTCTTTTAAGAAGGGAATGCAAGGCTTGAACCTGCGAGGAGGTTAAAGGCCATCTAGTTACCTGCCACGTGTCAGGCCCCGCTCTCGAATGATGACATCCCATGGTAGCCAACGCGATCCAGGGTTTAGACCAGCGGGCATATGCGGGGTAACAGCATAGTAGGGACGGCAGGTGTGACAGACACATCACCCTGCATATGCCGTCGATAGTAACGTCCCGTATTCTGTATTCTATAGTCATGTCAATATCTTCTACCCGGAAATTCAACCCAGCTTGTGCCGTTGTGGGTTTTCTGCACAACTGAAAGGTCCAAGGTATTTTGTGAAATTCGCCTGAGCCAAATGCAAATGGGATTCAACGTTCTCGCCTGCTGTCATGCCCAAGGGATCGCCGGCGGATAGAAGCTGTAAGTTCCTCGCAAGGCTTGAGCTCTCGAGACAGGCACATAACTGGCCCCTCCTTGCCTACAATCGTCATGCACGGCGTATTCCTAGGGCAGTCTAGATGTCTGCGGTTGCGTGGCCCAGGAATTTCAATGTGGTATCACAACGCTTGCGGTAACAACTGGATAGCCGAAAGGTATGTCAGCTCTCTGATACTATGAAGCTGTATCTCCATTACTGTTTTGAGGGGTTAGATCAGTCCCAATCCCTACCCATTTCAGTGATAGCAGTGGATCAGCTAATCGTCGGGTAGATTCTTTGATTCTCGCAGTACGGCACGAGGCCGCTTACTAGTGGTTATTGTGATAGTTCCTTGGAGGAAAGCAGAGCGCCAGCAATGTTTCTTAAGCTATGTCATTGTACGGAAGTGGAAAAATACATTGATAAGAGGATACAGGTGGAGTCCGACAGACTCCATCCCTTACATACCGCAAGGCATGCGTCATGTGCAAATTCCTGACCTAGCCACTTCACAGGCCTCTAAACGCTGGGGAGAAAGTTATGGGCCTCTACTGGCCAGTCCTCATTATTTAGCTGGTCCCCAGATAGGAATGATCAAGTGCTGCCACTATGACTGACAACCAAAGCCATATCTCGGCGATGGGAATTGGACGTGACAAAACTGGTTTCACTGGATGCAATTCTTTGCTCCCACAATTGACTGAAGACAGACGCCATCGAGGAGACCAGCCTGTATACATTGTGATATTCTCATGCCTAACCACTGGCTCGGCCCGTAGGCAACGGGGAGACAATAGGGCTAGCACATACCTGAGCCCCTGTCTTCAGAGTAACTCTTTGTCTCGAAACACGGGATGGGTTCGTGCTTATGAACTTATAGCGTTCTTCTTATCCAACTTGTCCTGCGATATTGTGTACAAACTATTTTCCTTAATATTCTCATGCGTCTTCGAACTGGTACTGAAGAACTTTCTCACCAACGCCCTACGAGAGCTCTGCACTGAGGAGAAGTTGGATCTTCCCAACTCGATCAATACGCTCCACTGCTAAGGTGTGAGTCACTATACCTCCTTGCTGTAGATAATAGTATGTGGTGACAGTCATCCGTGCACAAATCCCATCTTCGAGGCGATATCCAGCGTTGGGTTCCCTGTGAGCAGCATTCTGTATGCCCGATTTCCTACTGAGCTTGTTCTATGAAAATGTTCCTACATTGGGGTTCGTGTTGCTGTGGTGCCCTACTACATCCGCAGTGATGTTAAGCAACGCTCGCTCAGGATTTTTGCGAGCACCTGGATAGTTTCAATGGTCCAAAGTACGGTTTATCTGATGCTTTTGAAGAGTTCTTGTGGCGCCTGATGTAACTATTTTGGGAATAACGCAATTGGGCTTACGGGAAGTATGTCTAAATTAAAAATTGTTCTCCCTGCAGGTCCGTCTTATAATGTCTGATTAGATTGGTAGACTTATAGAGCTGGGAATAGTGAACTTAAACAAGCCCATCCCAGCCGACACCGGAACCAGCGAAGTCATACCCTATCTCTGTCAAAAGCAGACGCTCATATATAAATCACAGAGGTTGATCTCATGAAGGGTAGTGCGATGATAGGTACTCAGGAATCTGATTGCATACCTCCTTGCTTGCTCGAGTGGATATCTGGGCGCTCATTTCCAGTAGCGACAGCTGGACGACAGCAACATTCTATGTAAGCAGGATCATCCATAAACATGATTTCGGACAGATCTACCAAGTCGAGGAATATCCTGGCAATTGTCTCGACGTTTTGTGTGGCGATTAAGCTGGTATTGACCTTAAAATTAAATTTGGCCTTAAAATTAAATTCTGAGCTCGGACTGTGACGCGACTGGGATTTGACGACTGTAGTATGGTGCTCGCAACGCCAGAACATTCTTCATTGTTGTCATGGGGAATACTTGAAAGGGGCGCTGCCGATTGTCTGCATGCCCTATTCTTTGGATGGTCTACACCTTCAAGCTTTATCAGAACACCAATGCAACTTGGCGCACATTTGGCGGCTCCGTGTCGTCGGCGTTTGAACTGGCTGTGACTACCAACCAAGTACCAAGCCGACCATCTACTTGCCCCCTTTTGAGACTGTTTTGTACCACAGCCAAGACGTTTAGTCTCCTTTTTTTCTAAAATGATCGAGCGCGCTATGTCAGATGCTAGCTATACATGTAGAGTTTAGTGCTAGAGGAGGACAAGATGGTAGGGTGAAGGCAGACTATATTTGATTACTGCGGTAAGAAGACCCATAGCCAAATTTAACACCTCTCTGCTATCTTATCTGACACCAAGAAACTAAGAGCGTTGCAAATGTATGTCAGGACGTGAAGAGATTGTTATCGGAAGACTTGGGTACCCTTAATTTATAGAACATTGGAGGTTTTCTTGATCGGTTTCCAATGCTGATGGTTATTCCGTCAAGCGAATTTCATTTCTCTAACTGCGCACAACTCTGCAAAAGGTTCCTCCGGAGAGAATGGCAAATTTTTCCTCGTCGATGGAGCGAGTCATAGCATTAGCAGTCCTGATTGATGAATATTTGATCCCGCGCACGCATGTACGATACGCGTCGTAATTCAGAGAGCCCCATGGGATGATATTTTGGACACCTCGCTCCTGCAGAACTTTGTAGATCTGGATCGTCTTGTCTCTCACGGATAGATTATAGGCTTTCTTCGCTTCCTTTTCGTGTGACTCGGGCCCAATGTTTTCTATGGCATAACAGGTTCCTGCGAAAAGAGAAAACAAGGTGCTTCCGTATGGGGGACCAAGGACGTTTGGATTGGCACCATTTGCAAGTAAAAGTTCCACGGTCCCAACATGTCCATGGTATGCTGCAGCTTGGAGGGCTGTAGTAAAATTGCAGGCATCGCCATCCATCCCCCAAGCCCATTGGTGAACAGCTGCGATTGGAGAATCAGCTGCAACACCAATACCTAGAATTTCACGAGTCATGTCCACGCTGGAAACTGCTGCGACCAAAATATTACCTGCTAAAAGGCAAGTAGGATCACTCGGCTCAATTCGGGCACCCTTACTGATCATGCATCTAGCAATATCCAGCCAGCCATTATAGAGCGCCATGGCGAGCGGTGTATTAAAGAAAGCCCCAAGATCTGGATTCATGTCAGCCCCGTGCTCAATCAGAATGTTACAGATTTCACGGTGTTTATCAGACGGCCCATCCTCCACTCCAGTCAAAGAGTATGCCAGAGCGCTACCTCTGATATGGGCCCCATTAGAGAGAAGTAGCTCGACTGTTTCAATATTGCCAAACATAGTAGCTCCAGTCAATGCATCAGTTGCAATAGCGGGATCCCACGTTTCCCAATCGTCGACCTCTATCAGTCGGTTGACGTCTGCGCCATAATCCAGAAGAACTTGGCAAATATGATCATAGTCCAATTCAGCTGCCACTATCAAAGGGATTTCGCCTTTTATTTCCTCATCAGCCACGGCCCCGGCGTCCAATAATAATTGGCAAATCAGGGTGGACGATCCACGTATGGCTTCCGTCAGAACACCAGAAGGACTGGCACCACTGTCCAGAAGATATTTGACTAGATCGGTATTCCCGCATCTGCATGCAATTGACAAAGCGGTTTTACCAAATTCTCCTCTCGAATTTATATCAGCACCATCATTTATGAGACGCTTTACTATCGACGTATGTCCGAATTGCGCAGCTTTCATAAGTGCTGTACCGCTAGTGGGGTAAAATCTGATCATGTAGCACTCCTCACACGGCTCTTGTACTTGGAAACACTTGGGATCGAATCTGATGTCTTGTATCATATGAAGATCAGCTGGCCGTTGTAATGCGAGAAGATGGACCACTGACTCAAGACCCAGAGCAGCTGCCCACCCTAGAGGTGTGCGAAGAGTCAATTGTCGAGCAGCGCAACTAAAGGGTACATCGGGAATCATGTGGTTATATATCAATGTGACATATTTCCACTTCTCGCCCGACTGAAGGAGGGTGGATGCCAAAGAAGCCAGACTCATTTGCTCTTCACCTCCGGCCAAAATCATATGCTCGAACCAATAGCGGCATGCATATTCAAGAAGGGGAAACTGTTCGAGATCCGTTCTACTGCCTGTTCGATTTTCACTGCAATAGCAATGATTAATATATGTAATGCAGCTTTCCGCAATCAAAGCATGTGCTGAATTATCTTGGAACCCATATGATGAACAGGTGTCATGCTTAAGAGCCTCAGAAGTGAGAAACTCTTTGACTGAGAAATGGGAAAGAGCCAGGTACTTGTTGTCAATTCCGGTCCGGCGGACAAGTCCGGATAGACACGGCAAGATCCCTTCCCCCTCCAGTCTGTCTTCTTCTGCTATAACTGGCCTATTCTGCGGCATGATAATACAGCTCTCGTTGACCTCGACTAGGCGAAGCGGTCTGAGGGAAAGTGAAAGCCATAGGAGGGCCCTTGCTGCTTCACTTGAAAGCAGGTAATGAATATTTTGTAGCATTCTGACGTACGTATCGTCCAGTCTCGGTGGCATAGTTTTCAGGATATGGTCGATATCTTTCAGTCTGGGCGTAGGTAGTTTCGTGAGCTCTACCATCTGAAGGTGGACCCATAGAAACCTGCGAGGTCATTGTGAGCGATGTCTATCGTTTCAGGTACTTCGACAAGAAACGGGGTACTTACATTCCACCAGACAAACTGATCATGCTGTTGAGGGTTTGTGAGAGAGAATGGCCAGGCACTTTGTTCAGGACGTGGCTTTTCTTAAACTGCGCTTCCAGGTACGAGAACATGTCGTCACGATTGCTCATCGCATCTATGGTAACGATCTCTATTGACGGGATAGTACCTACGAAATCTTCAATATCTCGAGAGTTTGAGTTACTTCGACTCGTAAATAGGATATGCACATGCCGGTAGCGGGTAGCAATTGCTTTGATCCAACTCAGAACACGACTCCTTTGGTATTCGTCGGGATCATTAGGCAATTCATCGAGAGCGTCAAGGATAATATATACCTCTTTGCATTGCTGGAGGCACGCAATGGCCGAATCCAGCGCGAGTTCGATGTCGTGATACTCCAGAGGTCTGCTTGCTGTAGATCCGTTGAACTTTTCGTACAGTTCCTCGACATTCTGGAGGACTCGATCGTTCACACACATTTGCCTTAATATGGACGAGAGGCACAGAAGCGGATTAGGCCGGTGGGAATCGGCAAATGAGAAGAAGAAATGTACAAGGATATTGTCAGACTGTGCTGTACAGTAGGATTGCAGGTGCCTAATTACTGCAGAGCTAAATTTGAAGTTAGCTAGCATTCCAAGCATAACTAACCACCTATGATGGTATTCGGGTTTTACCATAGAAATGACTTTCCGCAACCAACTATTAGATAAAATTATTAGTCAAGTGCAGTAAGTGAGTTGGGCACTTAGATGCGCACCCTCACCCTTCACCCACAGTAGTGGCCCTGTAGATCTCCATTGCAGGTATTCCCGACCTTGAAGGAACCATTGGCAGGTGCCGGGATGTCTCCTAGACTCTCGAGATTGGTAGAGCATAAATGGATC